TGGTTGAAGTCGAGATCAAACCTGTGCATAAGTTAGCAAGTCTGCGCGTCACTGTGGTCCTTTCTACCATTGCGCAAGCGACACCGATAGTTTTATATACCGAAATTTATTAACACACAATAGTGAATGTATCTCTTTAGCGATTCAATTGAAAATGCATGGAATTATCCAAAAAATGTTCTATACATGAGGCATTCTATACCTCGGATTGTTCGTACACTTGAAACGATTAACCTCAATCATTAAATTCAATCAATAACAACCTGAAGTACAAGAATGTCAATAATGACGATATGGATCGATATCTCCTCGTCTTCGAGATCATTTTGACCAAGTCGAGGAATATCCATAGCCGATAAGCCGGTGAGTGCAATGCTGAACTTCTCGAGCAGCATATCCAACGGAATTGAGATCTCCAATCGAGACAACAACTTGAAAACATTACTATACAATTATGATAAACATTATCAGTCAATAAATACGAGAAAATCGATAAAATCAATAAAGGAAATAAGTTTCAGTATTGCGTAGGAACTCTTAAATATCGATTGGAAACACACCGATTTTTCTTATATTCATTAATGACAGCTTACAATCTTGTAGATCATTTTTGGCTATTTAAAAATGCTTGTGATTCTTTTATTTTTATTTCTATTAAGTTTTTTATTGAAATTATTTGTATTAATACTAAAATTTGAGATCACTTCAAATTAAATATGTAGACGAAAAAAAACACCTACGTGAAGCCATTGTAGAGCATTAAACAGTTCAACGTAATTATTTCCACCAAGACGACAACTTACAAAATCAAATACCTGTAATTTAAAAATCAATCGGTCAAAATCAAGCAGTCAATCGATCGATAAATCGATAGGATAACCTACTTAACCACAAGAGATTTTCATTAAGCAATTAATTTTACAAAGGAAAAAAAAACATACAACAAAAACACTTGCAGCTTTTTCCATACGAATTTTCACTTCACCTCCGAGTCTACGGAGAAAATGGAACGAAGGAAAGGGAGGAATGAGAGAAAAATATAGAGCATTAAGATAGTGTTACGAACTGATTCTTATCAAAGATAATGTTGTAATAGAAATCTTTACGAAACAAATTTACAAATACAAATACAAATATGCCAATAGAAGCTGCTGACATTCCTCATTCTTTAATTGTTATTGCTCCCTACAAATTTATCAATGCATTCTGGTATTACACCTCGTCACTCAGTCACTAGATCATTCACTTATTCAATCATACAATCCTCTCACTATCAAACCTACCTCAACAATATCATTTAATCACAAGCAGAAGAAAATTTACAAGAAGAAAAAACTTTGTGAACTCACCATAACCGTTTCAAATGGAAGTGGACATAAATCCGGTTCAAAAATCTTACATAATAGAATTTTTAGTTCATGTTGCTGTTCTTCAGTACATTTGTCATGAATTAACTAAATCAATAACAAGTAAACAAATCAATAAACAAAAAGTATCGATTTTTTTTCGTATACTGAAGTACCTGAAGCCATTTTGGCATCACACGACTCCACGTCTCCATTGAAATCACATCGTATGGCATTAATGCCAGTAAGCTGAACAGTACAATAAAAGTACAGATCTATCTCTCAGGTCTTTCTACGCACTAGAAATGCTTACCAGAAAGATAAAGATTTGCCAAAACACGGTAATGTTTCTTTGAGGTTTGTGAGGAGAATGCGTTCTGATTGAAAAAGCTACTAGGCATTCAATTTTATCATGTGGAATTTCGAACTGAATTGAGATTTTTCCTCATAAAGAAAACTTGACGATGTGAATTATTTCGTTTCAATAGGAAACTCAATGAGAAGCATATTGAGTCCTTCCACATTTCACATTGAGTTAGGCTAATCTTATCTTCTGTTATTTACTGAAATATTTATTGTAGTGTTTGTCAACATGTACTACTCTATTGTCTTGTTTTATTTATAAGAGTCTACAAAGAATTATTCATGAGGTACGCAATAACAGAATGTTTTTTTGTCTAAGTAGATAAAATTTTTGATCTACACTAATATCAATCAGCTGATTTTCGATAGATAAAAAACGAATACTATAAATATTAAATTGTACTTTAGTCTTGAAAATTTACTTATATTAAAAACCATGGTCGATCAGTACAAAGATTATCGATTGTTTGTGTAGGTCAACGATCAAAAATGAAAAAAAAACTAGATAGTACATCTTTGAGGTTAGTGTTTTACGAAAAGGAAAACGTTCTGAGGAAAATCTGTGTAGAGTTTGAGGGTGAAAAATGCGTGACGTGTTATTTCAGCACTCAGAAAAAAGTATAAATGGTCCGATTTTTAATTATTTTGCGATCTTTTTTTTTTACATGGAAGTATCCAGAATATAAAAACACTAGTAAAATAAACAATTTATTACAAGAAGAAATAGAACCTCTTAAAAATTTCATTGCCTAGTAAAAGTAGGCCAACACGGAAGAAAAGAAAAAGCTGGAAAGTTTTTGTAACCTTTATCCTTAGACCAATTAATTTTTGAGTTATATTTTCCCTCCAAAATTATTTGTCAGTTGATCTACTGTTTCGTTCATAACTCATTTTTCATTTATCAATTCTCATTCAATAAGCTATATTATTTCCACTTGTTTTTTCTTCACGATATCTTCGATCAACTTTTTAAGGCACTTAAATTGAATCTCAACTTGAATGCAAAATTTTTATGTATTTTCAAATTTTATTTATTTGTAAATTTTTTTTGTCTTAAAATACACTATTGATTAATTTTAAATTTTCAATAAAAATATAATTACTGTGAAGATCAAAATGAAAGCGTAGTGGTAACGTCACACTCAACGTCACCACTGAAAGAAATGACTAAATCTTTAAGCTTAATTGTTTCTTACCGGCCGAGTCCTTCTTTGATTTGTTCAAAATCTTGTCCTTCTTCTTCAGTACTTGGAGATAAAGTGTTGATGAACACGTCGTAATGGACTCTGATTGCCATATTGATCCAATCGCAAACGAACTTAAATCACTCCTTTTCCACTTTTTTCAATTCCTCAGTATAATCGCTAGTTACTAGTTTTATTTACCTATTTGATTTGTATGATATTGCAGCACAATGCTAAGAAGTAAGAGCTCAGTGGTGGAGGTACCACAGTGACTCACAAGCCCGAGACAGTTCGCAGCCGACCCCCTTTCCTACCAAGCCCGCTATCCTCCGAGGTTGGTTGATGAATTGTTATCAGAGGGATATGTATAAGATGAACAGCAGTGGTTTGATAAAGAATGGTCAACTCAATTCACTCTATAGACCATGCCGGCCTCTACGATATTACGCTAAATATGAATGTGTAAACGCATCAAGCCCTAAGGGACTGACCAACACAAGAGCTCATCTTAGTGCTCAGAAGACTCAGAACCTACTGAGTGAAATACAGTTTCGATAGCTGCGATGTTCGCCAACTTCAAAAAAAAACTTCAGATTAGTAAATTTCATTCATTTCAAGATCATACGATAATCCTATAGCTTTCTGCACACTAAAAATGCTTACTAGAAAGATAAAGGTTTGCCAAAACACGGTAATGTTTCTGTGAGGTTGATGAGGAGAATGCGTTCTGATTGAAAAAGCTACTAAACAATCAATTTTATCATGTGAAGCTTCTTATTCTGTTTACGATTTATGAGACAAAATGATTTTTTATATTGAAAATGTGACAGAATTTCAAGACTACTAACTTTTTATTTGCAATAAATAATTGCGATCATCGATCGATATCGATTGATTTAGAACTCACATCGGTTTTTAACTGCTCCAAACTCGCTCCCATACTATCGTTTGGAAGTAAAGCAGTAGTTGCAAACCATTGAAATACATTATACATTATATAGCTGATTGCTTTCTAAATCAGATTTTTAAAATTATGCTATTTAAAGTATTCAATAACAAGAACCTCAAACGCACTCTTTAGGATCACTTTAGCCTCGGATCCTCACTATTTACAAACAATTTAATGAATGAAAATTCGCTTTGTTTCATATATATTTCTTCATACTTAGAAATAAGTTTTCTTTTATTTTCGTCATAATGAGAGAAAAGATTTAGCTATTCCAACCACAATATCTTTTCCTCATTACGTTCCTATTTCATAATATGTGAATTTAAATAATCAATAGAGCTTCGAGAGATGCTAAGTTTGCCACAAAACATGGAAACTCAGGCGGGACTCGAACCCTCCACCGCTTTCCCTCGACCTACAGACATTCAGAATTAATAAAGCTTTTCATTATTTGTTTATTAATTGTCTTCCAGAATACAAATAGTTTAAGGTTTGTCTTTATCAAACACGTTTTTTTAAGCAAAAGTTCACATTTCAACTGATTTTGATTTTTTTCATTAAATATTTGTTTATCGAAAGCGAGGAGTAAATCAGTTTTATGAGAGGTTCGACCTGATCAGCGTTCTAATTTGGTGGTTAAAGTACTGCCACTATACATAATTTAACTCCAATTATTCATCATTTAACTCCAGCCAGCCATCCGACACCTATCAGTTGTCTGAGTGAATCAATCAGATGAGAGCTTCTACCTGATCAGCGTTTTGATTCGGTGGACAAAGTGCTGCCATCATCCATACACCGAATCGACTCAGCATACGTCTTTCATCAGCCATTGTGTCAATCTCCTTACCAAGTGAATGACCACCTTCAAGTTGTCGTAACCATTTAGGTCGTTTTCCCTCTCCTTCCGTTCCTGAAATACTTTTTTCTTGTCTCCATTAGTTCATCTGCTATTACTTCAATTCACATGAATTTTACTAAATAGTCTTGTTACATGATTGCATATTTTGTCCTCACAAAAAATCCTATTATCCCTCATTTTAAAAATTGTAGATTGATAGTTGAATGTGGTGTTTTAAATTGACATAGGCTTTTTTATTGTACATTTTCAATAAAAATAAATGTCCCAGCTTTATGGATTTCGCTTGAAAGCGAAGAAAATAAAAAATTTATTTAGAAATCTTGCATGTCATCCTTGCCTAGAGGCTATACTGATCTTCTCTGCATTCTTCCAATTTTAGTATATGTTTAGGAATAAAATTAAGGGAGCAGTGGCGTAGCGGTGGAGGTGCCGTAGTGACACGCCGTCGCGAATCAGTTCGTAGCCGCCGCCAGGCCTCCTAACCCCGCCATCCTTCTGTGGTCGGTGAACTGATACCAGAGAAATCTAGGTAGGATAACTAGCACTGATGAAGAGGGTGGTGAATAGTGGTCAAGTCAAGTCACTCAAAAAATCAACATGGTATTCAACCACCTCCATCATATCATGTTGAACACGAATGCGTTGGCACATCTCTCTCGCCACAAGGGATTGATCAACACCAAAAGATCTTATCTTGTCTGGTATGAAAATTTAATGATCCCTCATTCGATACCTTTTACTGTAAGAGTTATTTCCTTATAATATGGCCTTTACCCATCCAGTGATATTTGTTATTTTAAATAATGAGGGCAATAATTT